TTATTACTGTAATTGTTATGTCTTCAGCATGTTAACATGCTGCATTTTCTTTCGCAGCCTCACAAGTATATCATACAGGCATTGGTGTTATATAATAGTTGGCCACTTACTGAGAGCCAGTCTCTGTTTGTCCAGGAACTGAAAGAAATGGAGAAAAATGAAATCAAAGGTCAGTCAATCTAAGTATGTATTTAGTCAAATGTATCATGTTACTGATTTTAAAAAATGCTATATTTCTACAAGCCAAGACCATGTGACACTTTTTCTTTTATTCACTGCTTGAGTGAAATAATTAAGCAACAAAGCTCTTTCTTCTGTGGTTCATGCAAATTAAGTTTGATTGTATAATTCTGTACCTTCAGCTCACAAATTATAAAGAAATCAGAGAATACTCTGCAAAACTCACCTGAGCTTCTTAGGGCTCTGTCATGGGTGGAGTGATTGTTGTCGTACTAAGCCTGGTAATGCCTATTTCAAATTTGAATGATAAGGTGGGTTGTCTCATGTTATGGTGATCCCAGAGGCAAACTACAAAACTAGGTCATGCCAAGGTAAAATTGTACCAACAGCCTAATCTTTCAGCAGCACAAAGTGTCATATCCTTTGGTGTTCCATTTGGTGTGGTATTGTACACAGCAATTTGAAATGCCTTCTCATAGTTGGATCCGTTGATCACCCAGCATCCTACCTTTATTTCCTGGCCTGTCACTCCCCAGAGTCAAGGGCGTTGGTCAAAATCCTAAGGATCCCTGCTGCATTCATTTTCTACATATACCTCAGTTCTGTGCATTACTACAGTTAAGAGGGCCAAGTCTTTGTTAGAATTTAGTCCCGTACTTCTGGTATACATAACATGGGCTTGGGACCGTGGCGACTCTACAGGTTAGGACCACAGGTTAGGAGGAGCAGCACGGTCAGGGTTTGGACGAGCAACATGAACACAGCATTTCCATCTGCCATCCTGTGGGGTGCTGTAAGAGAAAATAGAGACTTGTTTTGGTGGGGATAGGCAAACAAGTTACCCCGTTAAAAAGAAGGAAAAATCCATCATGCACTAATTCTATGTTTTGCACCACTGCTATTGGTAGCTTCCCAGGCAAATGGGCCATGAGGTTTAGTTAATGTCATAGGCACAGTACCTATGGGTGGTCGATTGACCATCACAGGCTGTCCTGGCTGTAATGTTGTCAGATGTTCTCTTTTCCCAGTAGATGGAGCACTAAGCTCAGTTTTTACAAAGAATGCTTGGTTTACAGGGCTTCCAGTAGGCCTGTGTCGATTATTTAATTGATGGAGTACTTTGGGAAGTTACATGTCACATTGAGCCTTGTGTGGTTTGAGATTAATTTTCAATAAGCCATTAGCCCTTTCTACCATCCCATTTGATTGTGGGTAGTATGGAGTGTGTAATACCCATTTAATTCCTTCTTGTCTTGCCCAATCTTGCACTTCTTTACACAAGAAGTGTGAGCCATTATCACTTTGGGTAACATTAGGAGTAGATAGATTTGAGAACTAAAATGATAGCCCTCACACTGTATTTTACCCATTGGCTTCCCAACACTTAGTCTCCATAAGCAAGTCCAAGACTACTTCCACTCCTGTGAGGATATATCAATATCCCACAGAGGCTTTGAATGGTCTGATATAATCAATTTGCCATGTAGACCATGAATTTTTCCCTTCATTGATATGTAGAGGTGGTGCTTTAGCAGGATGATCTGCTTGTAATTTCAATTTACACTGGGCACATTCTGTAACAATAGTTTCACAAGTTTTCCGGTTTACGGGCCAGCCCTTACTCTGTGCAGCAAAATAAAGAGCTTCCTTACCTGTGTGACTTAGGTTTTGATGTAACCGTCCTCCCAACCAATATGCCTCAGAAGTTAAGGTGATTTCTCTAATTTTAGTTAACTCATCGACCTTTTGATTCTATTTCCTGGCTGGTTGATTATCTTTAGCATGAGCTAATTGTGGGTGAATGTTTATACCCCTGTGGGAGTCTGTTAAGGGTATATGATATTGCCTCCCAAGTGAAAGCAAAGTTCTATTTATCCTCCTCCCTTAAAGGAACCATAAAGAACATATCTTTTACATCTAATGCCACCATCCATGGGTGTGCAGCTGCTTGCAAGGTTAAGTTTGGTACAGCAGTTGTTGGCATTTAGGTGCCAATAATCGATTGTCAAACACCACCTCCCACCTTGTTTCTGAACTGTCCAGGCAGGTAAGTTATATGGTGAGTGGGTTCTGGAGATTGTCCAAATCAACTATGACTTCAGAAATTCCATTTTGTGCCAAAGCAGAAATCGGCTATTGCAGTACATTAGTAATTTTTGAATCAGGGAGTGCAGGGGCTGCACAAAGTACACACACAGTAGCCTCCCTATTTCTACTGGGGTTGAGATTGATGTTTGAGCCAAAGGACTGCACACTGCCATTTGGCAGGTTCATCCATTTAAAACATTGAAACCTAAAATATTTTCATGATAATCTTTAATTGGAAAGCAAGTAGTAGACATGTGCTTCTTGCCCAAGAGCCATAAATTGACCCTGGCAGTTTGTGCAACACTTGCTCTGTTCACAACGGTAATCTTAACTCTTTGCCATCCAGATCGCACGCCCAGCTTGTCAGCATCTTGTGGCAGGTTCATCCATTTAAAACATTGAAACCTAAAATATTTTCATGATAATCTTTAATTGGAAAGCAAGTAGTAGACATGTGCTTCTTGCCCAAGAGCCATAAATTGACCCTGGCAGTTTGTGCAACACTTGCTCTGTTCACGACGGTAATCTTAACTCTTTGCCATCCAGATCGCACACCCAGCTTGTCAGCATCTTGTGTTAGTAGTGAAATTTGTGCTTGCATATCTATTAAAAACTTCACCAATTGTCCTTGAGGACCAACTGGAATCAAAATATATGTGCCATAATCACTTATCCTCCACTTTCTGGACAGGCAGACCCAATTGCCTTCCAGGCATTACTCATTTTTTGACTTCATGTCCTGCAATTCCTCCCTAAGGGGGACAAAGGGATTATCTCCCAGAGTAGAGTTGAAATACATTCCTACCTTCACCATTTCTGGAATGTTTCGATCAGACTCAAAATAATGCTAGTAGGCTGACCTTGCAATGCAGCTCTGGGGATGCCTAGGGCTAATGTTTTCTTATATAGCTCAGTTCTCCATTCTTGAGATTCTGTTTGCAGTTTTTTAGATTTATTTTCCTTTGATTTAGTTTCTGTTCCCTGTTTTACAGGTGTGACCTTATGCTCTCCTCCTCGGAACTTTAGGGATGTTTTTTTTCTGCTGGTGCATCGTCCCAGCCCATTTCACGACTGTAATTAACAATGCCATGCATTAATTCTACCCGTTTAGGGAGTTGTTTAAGAGTATTATTGCCCTGATTTTTATTATATTCAGTATCTCTTTTAATTTCATCCTGTTTTGCAACTAGATAGGGTTTAAGAATTGCTGGAGCTCCTCTAATCAGTGTACATTTAATGGGGATTATGAAGGGTTCACTTTGCTCCATGGTGTCCTCCAGCCCAATAAGCTACTCAACTGGTGATAGAATGGGGTGTATTTGTTGGGTTGAGTCCTAAATTTAAGAAAATTTCTGGTCCCCAATAGCCATTTGCTTCATCCTCACTCAACATTATCCAGTTGCCACCACTTAGGCGTACTTGCCACAAGTGTTCAGTTTCAGTTTCACCTGGTTTTCTGTTATATCTCTCTTGCAAATTTGTCAGTTGCACTGGATCCCGGGGGATGGTTTGCATAGTATGTTGGGATGACCACCCCAAGGTCCCACAGTTCTTTCTGTTTTAACAGCAGGTCTGGCTTCATAATCAGGAGGATTTATGGGGAGCAAAGGATTGTTGTCTTCTGGCTCACTATCATTGGCATCACCCCAGATGTCTCCATCACAGTCTTCAGGGGATACTATTAGTTTCCTGATCTGTATGATGTCAGAGGGGTGGAGAGCCTGCATAAGCATCATCTCTACCTTTTCTCCCAATTTTTGTCCTTTTTCCTTTTCCTCCTGTAAATGTTTCTGCAGTTGTTCAATATTTAAAGACAGTAACAACTCAGTTGCCTTTCTACCTTCTATTTCTTTCTCTAGGTCCTGCTCCTTTCTATTTCTGTTCTCCCTTTCTTGATATGCAGCTTCTAAACAAGTACCTAGCATCTTGCAGATAACTCCTTTCCCTTTTCCATCAGTTGTACAGCCCCTAGTTACCTCTAGGTGCTCTTCAACAGCTTCCCAATTATGCCAATTTTCATGACCCCACTCTTCTGAGAAGTTGGGACTCGGGTTCACTCCATGCCTTCATAAATAATCGGTGATACTACTTGCCATCTTGCCGACTACACCAATTTGGTGCGGATGTAGTGATGCATTTCACTTGTAAGAGAGAAGTAGCAATATGTTTACTGATATAAATTAGCAATTTAACAAAGTTTGATAGTAAATGTGACAGTGGTTTGACAAGATTTGATGGCAAGGTACACTTGATTATTTACTGCAGAGAGGATAGGGAAAGTTGGACATGTTGGGAAGACCCTCCCGTTGAGTCACGAGGTTCAGAGAGGACCCCCTTGCTTTCTAAACTCCTACTCATAGGAGTCTAGGTGCAGGTAGATCCAATCCTAGTCCCAGACTTGGTCAACAGATTACGTCTAAAGGATTATATATGCAGAATCAATCTAAGATATAGTCTTAGCAAAGCTTACAAAGTTTAGCAAGCTATTAGTCACTTACTGAGAATCTCTTGCCACAAGGAATCTCTCAATATTGAGGACTAAGAGATGTCTGTGGCAGATGTAACCTTGAGAGGTGTCCCTACTCAAGGAGAGATCCTGTTGTGCAACCTGTTGCCATGCAGGAAAGCTCAAAGGGCTCTTGAGCTGCTCACTATTTACGGGGTAAAATGATTAATTCATAGTCATATTTGCATACCGACTACAGGTGTTCGTTTCTTCCAAATTCGGCTTGAGTCAGAGATTGACCAGCACTGTGATTGGGTGGGTGCATTGCTCTAATTAGCACTTGGCTATTCTGTTGTTATCTGTCTTTCCCAAATCTACTTTGGGCCGGATGGGACCAGATGCATTACAACGGCCACTGGTGGTTATCGCTTGAGCAGGATTATGGGAAATAAAGG